TGGCAAGAGCACACGCCTTATAGGTAAAACCCCTAAAAAAAAAAAAAAAAAACAGCAAGAAGAGTGGGAAGCCTTTGCGTTGCAGGACTTGGCGGGGACTGGCTCCCGAACAGGGTGGCGATCTGGGGAGGGCTGCAGGCGGGAGATAAGACCTTGGGTCCTTGGGTAGGAAGCCGCCACCGGCTCTCAGTGGCCCCCTGCAGGGGTTAGGGAAGCAAACCCCCACCCACCGCATCCCACTGGATGAGCTAACCGACCTTGTGATGCCTACGTGCCGGGGCTCAGGGCCGGGTGCAGGAGGGTGGGGAGCGGAGTCTAAGAAATCCAACACAGACATCAGGGAGGCTAGTATATAGCCAGATTGCATTTTATTTTTAGTTTTTTGCCATTGGGCGCCCGCCCTTGTCAGAGAAGAGACAGAGATATACAGAGAAAGAGAGAAATCAGCCCCCAGGTGGAGGGCCACGCCCCAATCCCTTCTCTGTTCTCATTTTGGGGTCCTGGATATGCACGCACACATGCCTGGTGTGGTTTTCAAGCCACCAGGTCCAGGACCCAACCCCGCCAGGCTGTGCCAGAATCTGGCTGCTTTAACACCGCCTGCTGCCCCCTGGAGGGGGTAATAGGTCATTCAATTGTACCGAGTGTCACGGTTTCATAGAAGAATGCCCAGAATTTGGAACTATTAACCACACAATTTCTTAAATAATCTAACTACTTTCCATTGCAAGTTCACTTTAATTTATGTTAAAACTGGTTTTCTTTCTTACTTTTTTTTTTGGAGAGGTTTTTTTGCTATAGGGCGCGTGCGCTCGCCAGACAGACAGAGAGAGACATAGAGACAGAAAGCGAGAAATCACCCCCTGGGGGGATGGCCACGCCGCAATCCCTTCTCCTCCATTCTCCTCTCGGGATCTTGGGCACGCACGCACACGCACCTGGTGGTTTTTTTGTTTTGTTTTGTTTTTTTTGCACCCGGTGCGTTTTAAGCCACTGGGTCCGGGACACGAACTGTGGTTGACTACGTGGGAGTCCAGCGACAT